GGAGGCAGAAAGGGGGACTGTACAGGTCAGAGATACAGGACACATGGGCTCACCAGCGGCTGGCAGAGGCAGGGAGGGATCCTCCCAGAGATCTCACGGGGAGCAAGGCACTGTCCACATCTTGCTGCCTGGCCTCCACACTAGGGGGCAGTGCCTTTCTGTGGCCAAGGCCACCAGTTTGGGGTAATTTGCCACGGCAGCCTTAGGCACGAACACAGGCAGAGACAAAGCCAGCAGAAGCCAGTCCCCACATCTCCACCCCCGGCCTCCTCATGCCATGCATCACACTCCGGCTCTAGATTTGATTAAATGAGCAGTCCTTGAGCATTTTCCCATTCTGCCTCAGAGCCCAAGACAGGAAATGATATGAACAAAGAGAGTCCTATTTATGAGGTCCCTGAATGAGACTTAAATTCATTTTCCTAAAATTCTCAGCTAGTCCTAATCAGGTTCCTTTGAAGTATGCTATTTGTTTCCTGCAGGTTAAGGGCCTCCTTAGACCTCAAGCTCACACCACTGGAGACTGCTCTTCCCAGACGCTCTTCTCCCCGGAGCTGGAAAAGCTCAGGAGAATGGTAAACACTGGCTTCCTATGACAAGGAAGAAGACAAATGGAAACCAGAAAGAGAAGCAATAGGGAGAGTCCACAGGGATGGGGGAAGGGAGAGAGGCCAATTTCAGAAAGCAAAGAAAGAAAAATAAGCTGGGCGTGGTGGTACACGCCTATAATCCCAGCACTTGGGAGGCTGAGGCAGGAGGATCGTTGCGAGTTCAAGGCCAGCATGGGCTACAAAGTGAGCTCAAGGCCAGCCTGAACTGCATAGCGAGACCCTGTCTTAAAAAGACAAAAAAAAAAAAAAAAAAAGAAAAAAAAAGAAAAATAAGAGGGCAATCCACGGGGACCTGGACCAAACAGGAGACTAAGGCAAACTGAAAGCCAGAGCTAGCTTTGAACAAGGTACACAATGAGGTGGCCTGCGAGGCCATGCATCACAGGTAGGACATAATGGGAAAATGCCCAGGTACCACAGCTTTGCAAAGTATCATCCAATCCACAACTCCGGGCCTGATTTAGCTAGAAAGCCAGTACTGTATGCCTTCACAACTGCAATTCCAATTCTCTAAGATAATCCTTCAACAGCAGTTTAATGCTGTTAAGAAAATTCCTACAGCACCCTCCTAATGCAGACTGCCAGGCGGCCACTTTACACTAAATCTTGTGCCGCTCTACTTCAAGGACAGAAGTTACCAGTAATGCCGTGGGGCTCAGGCCCTGACTTCCATTCTGAAATTCTTTCACATGTTTGAAAAGTACTATTTAGTCAGTAACACAAGGGTCGAACAATCCTGGGAATAAGCCAGGAGCCTATTTCACCCTTTGGGAAGCACTTCAGTTCTCAGCAGTGTGATCACGCGGTGGAAGGAGACGGCATCTTCCCTGCCAAAGCTGGTGGCTGCCTTTGCTCCTTTCTATTCTGCTCACTAAAACCTACACCAAGCCTGGTGAAAAGCCAGCTCTCTCCCAAGAAGCAACGGAACCGCCACTGTTTCAAATAAACACCCTTCCCCCTGCTGCCGCCAACTCTGGCTCAAACAAGAGAGGATTAGAGACCCACTACTTCACGTGCAAGTCATTATCCTCAGTGCCAAGGGATTCACATCCAAAAACACAATTTCTCCTGCCAGAAAAGTTCCACTGAATTTTCGAAGATTCCTGTGCCCTAATTTAAAGTGTTTTCCTTCTTTTTTCCTCAGGTGTCCCCCATGCAGAATAGCACGATGAGCTGTTAATCATTTTCACTTCTCCGCCACCTTGCTCCCCTGATCAGAGTATTATTAACCACTCCCCAAACACATCAGGTAATCAAGCCGTCCAAGAGCTTCCCATCAGAGCACTAACTTCCAATACTGGCGGGGCCCGAAAATGGCTTAATTCTTTCATTCGCTTCACCCACAGCGAGTCTTGATGAGGCACTGAGGGAGATGAAGTTACCTTTACAGAGAGGACGTTAATGTGGGAAGTGCAAAAGGGCAGAACTTAGGATCTGAATAAGAAGCAGGCAGACACCGCGTGGCACCACCTTTCAAGCTTCTAGCTTATTAGAGATGCAGTCTCTTTATCTCCCACTTACCCACCCATTTCCAGCAAGGCTTAAAAGGACACTCTCCCACTCTGTTTTTCAGTGGAAGTGGATTTTGTTGGTTGTTCTTTTCTCACTGACAACACATTGCGCTCTACGTCAGACAAAGAAGCTGCCTTAGGAGCTGAAATAACAGCCACAGCGACAGCTCTCCTGCCTAAGGATCTGTGGGACCACTCACAAAGTGAAAGCTTGTTCCGCTATGAAGCCTGTGTGATTATCCATTTTACATCAGTACGACCCGCTCATCTCTGCTGTGTTCTTTTAAATACCCTAATCTGTGTCATCAGCTCAGCATTCAGCAGAAAAAACATCTTTGGTCGCTGGATAAAGTCCTCTTAAAAAAAACCACCTCCGTTGATTTGAACATTTGTGGACGGGGGATGTAGCTCAGTAGCACAGCACCTGCCTGGCAAGCGCGAGGTCGTTAGCTGAATTCCTATACCAGAACAAGAAAAAGAAATAAAACAACAACAGCAACAAAAAGCATATGTAAAGATTCAGAAAGCTTGGAAGTCCACAGTGTGGGGGTGAACGGCCTTTTGAAAGCAGGGCAGGATGGCTAGGGATGTGGCACCTGAGCAAAATGCATTAACAAGGTTGACGGCACAATTAGTTGTTTTTTAAGTGACAGATTCCTTTTAAATTTCATGTAAAATCACAGGAAAAAGCAGAATAGTTGCCCTAATTCACATGTACATGATGTGAGGTGAATCCTTAAAGGAACATTTCATGTATTAGCTGATGGGCACAAATCATTTTGGTTAAAATTTCCTTTTTTTTTGTGGTCCTAGGGATTGAACTCAGGGGCACTCTAACATGGAGCTACATCCCTGCCCTTTTAAACCGATTTTTTAATTTTAACACAAGGTTCCACTAAGTCACCCAGGCAGGACTTAAGCTTGCAATCCTACCTCAAGTTTCCTAAATTCTGGGATTATAATCATGTGCCACCACACCTGTTTTAAATCTGCATAATGTAAGAGTGATGTAAGCATCATTATTCATTAGCGTACAAATAAAAGCAGCTTATCCTTGCTAAGCTGTGTCTTGAAGAGGAGAAACATTAAAGCGAAATCTGACTGTATTTGGTGACAGCACTGAACAGTCACCACAGTGGCTTCCAACTGCCCTTCAGGCAAAGATGGCTCAGAGGCAGAGCTGTGGGATTGGGTCAGGGAGGAAGGAGAAGGGCCAGTGGTAAGGGTGGCTTTCTTTTCTTGGGCTTTTCTTTTCCATCACTCATTCATATGTAGAGAAAAACAAAAATATCACAGGGGAAGCAATGAGTGGAATCCCTTCAGATTTGGGAAAATGCACAACATAGAAAAAAAGTCTCCAGCATGAGAACACCTGCTGGAATTACAAGTCAGCAGTGTAGAATGTTCCAGATGTACTGCTGTGAAGTGTAAGGTTAAAGACTGTGAAGGTTTATGGTGGAGAAGGGTGGTGATGAAACAGCAAACTTTGGAGAAACAATTATAGCTTCTTTAGAAAACCTTATTTCTTGGGGCTGGGGATTTAGCTCAGTGGCAAAGCGCCTGCCTGGCAAGCTCAAGGTCATGAGTTCAATTCCTGGTACCGCAAGAAAAACAAAAAAAAAAACCAAAACAAAAAAAAGAAAACCTTATTTCTGCAACTTCTTGTAACGTACAATGAGTCAGAATCCATCAGACCTGGGAGGGGTTTCACAGATGATTTAATAAACCCATTTTACAGATGAGAAAATTGAGGTTCAGACAGTATGACTCATTCAAGGGGCAATGGTTAGTGGGAAGCAGAGACAGGCACAGAGTGCAGGTGTACATTTCTTATTAATTTATATCTTGTGTGGTTTTGAAGGTGTGAAGTTAAAAAACTAGGAAAACTGTATGGTGGCCATGAAGTCAAACTATTTTCCTGATAACATTAACATGCTCTTTACCTTTCTATTCCCATTCTCTCTGTACACAGTGGAGCCTCCAGAGGTGAAATGATGTATCACATTAGAAAGACTGGTGCAGAAAATAGATATGAGAGTCCAGCTTCTTTTAGGAAGCTAGGTGTTCGGCATTTTCAAAAATGTAAACAAGTGCTGCTCTTCTCGCTATATTTAATTTTGCTTTGGAAAATTATAGTTATATTCATAAAAGTGTTATTTAAATTAATACAATACTTATTATTTAAATGAGTTAATACATATTTTAAATTTTCTCAGTTTTAATTTTGAAGACACAATCCATATAGGCAAGTGCTATCTGAGCCAGTGGCACATGTTGAATCCCAGCTATGCAGAAGGCTGGGGCAGAAGAACTGTGAGTTCAAGGCCAGCCTGGGTAACAAAGTAAAAAGCTGTCTTAAAAGAAAAGAAAGTGACAAAAGCTCCTTGAGATCCTCAAAAAATTTTAAGGCTATATTGGCGTGCTGAGATTGAAAGCTTTGAGAGAGGTGGGGACATAGCTCAAGGCACAAGCACCTTCTTGGCAAGCACAAGGTCCTGAGTTCGACACCTGGTACTAAAAATAAATAAATGAATGAATGAATGAATGAATGAATAAATAAATAAATAAATGAATGAATGATTTGAGAACTGTTGCATCAGATCGTTAAAAAGTAAGCTAGAAAGGAAACAATTAGAAGTGAATTTTTTCAGTCTAAGGTTCTGGGGATTGAATCCAAGGCTTCCAGCATGCTAGGCAAGTGTTCTACCACTGAGCTTTATCCTTAGCCCTAAAAGTAGAATTTTTTTTTTTTTTCCTCCGGTACCGGGAACCGAACTCACGACCTTGCGCATGCCAGGCAGGTGCTTTTGCCGCTGAGCTAAATCCCCAGCCCCCTAAAAGTAGAATTTTATAGAAAATATTCAGAACACAAAACCCCATATTCCTCTTCCTTTTTGGATCTATCTCTCTCCTTCACACGGAGTAGGAGTCCCTGAGGTGGAGGTGAGACGGCATCCGTGGTCAGTAGCAATGATAGGTGCTTCGAGTCTGCACAGAGGAGCGTGTGGAGCCGGACTGAGTTCTGACTGCCACGTACTGGTGTTGAGAACTGGCCATCCTGAGCCTCAGTTTCTTTACCTGTGTGAAGGAAGGCACACGTGACACCTACCTCCGTGAATGACCCAATGCATGACAGACCAGGACTGGCCCTGTGCTTGGCATGCATGTGGTAGGTACTAAGCTGGGCCATTCGTGTTATTCAAACTCCTGCGCTTTTTCAATGCCAGACCCTTTCCCTTTCACAGTCCATACTGGAGTTAAAGAAGTCAACATGTCCTACTTCAAAACCGTCTGTGCCTTTTTTCCTTTATGTTTTCTTGCTCTGTTACCTTGTTGGATCTTGGGAAAGTTGCTTGACTTCCCAGGACCTAATTTACATATTATAAGCGCAGATTAGGAGTGGGCTTTGGGTCAGTGCCTACTGGTTTGAATTCTAGCTCTTATTATCTCTGCATAACCCGGGCCTTATGGCATGATCCTGATGTACCTCAATTTTGTTGTCTGTAAAACAGAGCTTGTGATCACATCCAGCTCAGAAGTTTGTTGTTAGGATGAAGTGAGTTAATATATAGAAATGTTAATATATACACAGTACTTAGGACATTGCCAGCCAATCAGGAAACTCACAAATGTTCCAGAATTTCTTGCTATTAGCTACAAAGTAGGATTAGGCTTTTTGTCCAAGCTGTGAGAAATAGTTCTACTGCCTGTTACTGTCTCCATGGCCTGCCCGCTCTCCTCCCTCTTCTTCTTCTTCTCCTTCTGTGATACTGGGGATTGAAGGCACAGCCATCACACTGAATTACACCCCCAGCCCCTGTTTATTATTTACTTGTTTTATTTTTAAGAGAAAAGATCAAAAACAAAATGAAAAAACAAAGACATACACAAAGCAACACAAAAAATAAAAATGATACAAAATTTCAAAACAAGGTGATAGGAAATTAATAATGGTTGTTGTATTACATATTGTTATTTTCTTCAGATCACCAGATCTAGGCATGTAAGACTGATCAAACAATTAAACATTAACTGTTCCTTTTAATAAACCAATAGGAGTTAGTACAATTACCTTAGCTATCTTGTGTGTGTGTGTATATATATATATATATTTTTTCCCCCTTCTTTCTTTTCTCTTTTCCCTTGTCACAGTTATTCTTTCCTTTTGAGTAGTTTCTTTCCCATTCATAGTATCTATTGTACCTTTCAGATTTTATTTATGTTTTCAGGTTCTTATACTAGGGAGACAATATGATCTTTACACATGTGAGTCTGATTTATTTCACTTATGAGTATGGTCTCTAGTTGCATCCATTTACCTATAAAAGCCTTGAGTTTATATTTCTTTATAGTTGAGTAACACTCCATTGTATTTCTTATTCACTCCTTAGCTGATGAGCATTTGGGTTGTTTCCAAGATTTAGCTATTACAAATTGTGCTGCTATAAACATGGGTGCACATATGTTGCTGTGGTATGATGTTTTCAGTTCTTCTGGAAAAATACTCAGAAGGGGAATAGCTCAGTTGAATGGGACCTCTAATCCTAGTTTACTGAGGAATCTCCAGACTGATTTCAACAGTGGTTGTAAAAGTCCCCTCCAGTATTTTTTTTGTTTGTTTTTGTTTTTTGTTTTTCTCTGGTACCAGGAACTGAACTCACGACCTTGCGCTTGCCAGGCAGGCACTTTGCCGCTGAGCTAAATCCCCAGCGCCCCCTCCAGTATTTGTTATTGGTTGATTTCTTGATGATAGGCTGGGGTGAGATGGAATCTCAGTATTATTTTAATTTGTATTTCCTGAATGACTAAAGATGTTGAATATTTTTTTCATATATTTATTTGCCATTTGTATTTCTTCATCTGAAAAGTGTATATTCATCTCAGATACCCATTTTTGGATTGGGTCTTTGAATTTTGGGGGCCTGAATTTTTTCAATTCTTTATATGTTCTAGATAGAAGTCCTTTGTCTGAGGGACAGTTGGCTAAAGTTTTTTCCCAATCCAAGGGTTTTCTTTTCACTCTGTTGGTGATTTCTTTAGATGTGCAAAATCTTTTCAATAAGATAAGATCCTAGTTGTTGATTCTTTGAAGTATTTCCCATGCAGTTTTGTTACTGTTCATGAACTCTCTGCCTGCCCCACTGTCGTCAAGATTTCTACCTACTTTCTCTTCCAGTAGATTTAGTGTTTCTGTTTTAATATTTAGATCTTTAAGCCATTTTGACTTTAGTGTAGTGTATGGTGATAGACATGAGTCTAGCTTTAGTCTTTGGCATGTGGAGAGCCAGTTTTTCCAGCACCATTTATTAAAGAGGCTATCTTTCCTCCAGTGAACATGTTTGGCCCCTTTGTCAAAGATAGGGTGACTGAATGTGTTTGTGATTATGGCTGCATCTTCTAGTCTGTTCCATTGATTCTCAAGTCTTTTCTTAGCCAATACCATGCTGATTTTATCACAGTAGCTTGTAGTATAATTTCAAGTCTGGGATTGTGATGTATCCTTGCCTTTGTTGCCCAGGATTGCTTTTGCTATTCTAGGTCTCTTCTGGTTCCAGATGAATTTTAGGAATGTCTTTCTCTAGATCTGTGAGGTATACTAATTGTATTTTAATCAGAATTGCATTGAATACAGATTTTTGGGAGTACGGCCATTTTCACAATGTTGGTTCTTCCCATCCATGAGCAAGGAATATCTTTCCAGTTTCTGAAACTCTCTTTGATCTCTTTTTACAGAGTACTGTAATTTTCACTTTGTAGATATTTTACTTCTTTCATTAGATTGATTCCTAAGTATTTCAAATTTTGGATGCTATTGTGAAAAGTATGGCTTCCCTAATTTCTCTCTCAGTGTGTTTGTTGTTTGTGTATAGGAATGCTATTGATTACAAGTGTTGACTTTGTATTTAGCTACACTACTGAATTTATTTATTAATTCTGGGAGTCTTTTGGTGGAGTTTTTGTGGTCTTCCATGTAGAGTACCACGTCATCTGTGAGTAATGATAATTTTACTTCTTCCTTTTCTATCTTTATTCCCTTTATTTCTCTCTCTTGTCTAATTGTTCTGGCTAATGTTTCCAGAACTATATTGAATAGGAGTAGTGACAGTGGACATCCTTGTCTTGCTCCTGATTTTAAAGTGAAAGCTTTCAATTTTTGTTCATTTAGTATGATATTGGCTATTGGTTTGTCATAGATGGCTTTGATCAGCTTGAGGTAAAGTCCATCTATTCTGATGTTCTGTAGAGTTTTTATCATGAATGAGTGTTGGACTTTATCAAAAGATTTTGCTGCATCTATTGAGATGATCATGTGATTCTTGCATTTGGCTCTGTTGATATGATGTATTACATTGATTGATTTGTGTATATTGAACCATCCTTACATTCCTGGGATCAATCCCATTTGGTCATGGTGTATAATCTTCTTGATGATGTGCTGCATTCTATTAGCTAGTATTTTTTTTTTTTTTAAACTTGCCTCCATTTCCTTCTGTTCTAATTTTTACACTGTAATCTCTGGTTGGGCATTGTCTTATTATTTTTTTGGTTTTGGTTTTTCTCTGGTACCAGGAACCGAACTCACGACCTTGCACTTGCCAGGCAGGCACTTTGCCGCTGAGCTAAATCCCCAGCCCCTATTAGCTAGTATTTTATTGGAAATTTTTGCATCTATGTTCATTAGGGAGATTGGCCTATAGTTCTCTTTTTTTGGTTGGGTCTTTCTGTTTTTTGTGGTACCAGGGATTGAACTCATGACCTTGCGCTTGCCAGGCAGGCACCTATGCCACTGAGCTATATTCCCAGCCCCCTTTCTCTGGTTTTGGCATTAGGGTAATACTTGCCTCCAGGAATGAGTTAGGGAGAATTGCTTCCCTTTGTATTTCATTAGAGTTTGAGAAGACTTGACATTAAATCTTCTTTAAATTTCTTGTAGAATTCAGCTGTGAATCCATCAGGACTTGGGCTTCTCTTTGTTGGTAAGTTTTTTTTTTTTATTACATTTTCACTTTCATTGACCGATGTTGGATTTTTCAGGATTTTTATCTTTTTTGATCCAGCTTTGGAAATTCATATATGTCTGGGAATATGTCCATTTCTTCTGTGTTTTTTATCCTATAAAAGTAAAAATTTTTAAAGTAGGTATTGATGATATTCTGAATTTCTACAGGACCTGTAGTAATTTCACCCTTTTCATTCCTTATTGCATGAATTTCAGTTTTTTCTTTCCTTCTTCTTGATAAGGTTGGAGGGTGTTATTTAATTTCCATGTGTTTAGGGAGTTTTTGCAATTTCTTTTATCAATAATTTCCAATTTCATTGCACTACAGTCTGATAATATGCATAGGATAATTTCAATTGCTTTACATTGATTTGAGCATGTTCTATGTGCTAGTATGTGGTCTATTTTAGAGAACGTCCTGCATGCAGTTGAGAAGAATGTGTATTTAATGTTACTGAGTGGAATACTCTGTAACTATCTACTGAGTCCATTTGTTCACACGTTTGGTTTAGTTTTGTTATTTCTTTGCTGATATTTTGCTTACTTGATTTATCTGTTTGTGGCAATGGGGTGTTAAAGTCTCCTGTTACAATTTTGTTATTGTTTATTTGATTTTTCATGTCTGTTAACATTTGTCTTATATGATTGGGTGCTCCTATATTTGGTGCATATATATTTCTTGTTGTCTCTTCCTCTTGCAGTTTTCCCCTAATAAGAATATAGTGACCTTCTTTATCTCTTTTGATCATTATTGGTTTGAAGTTCACATTTTCTACAAACAGAATAGCTACCTCTGCTGTTTTCTGGGTTCCTGTTGCATGGAGTATTGTTTTCCATCCTTTGACTTTCAGTCTATGAATTTCCTTTTGAGTTAAATGTATGTCTTTTATACAGCATATTGTTGGATTTTCTTTTTTGATGCACTCTGCCAGGCTGTTCCTTTTGATTGATGAATTAAGGCCATTGACATTAATGGTTATCACTGATATGTATTGACTTATCTTTGTCATGTTATTTTCCTGCTGTTGGTTCCATCCTTTTCCCCCTCTGTTGAATTCCTTGCCTTGCTTAGTGGTTCTTTTCTATTGTTCTTCTTGGGATTGTGGTCATTTTTATCTCTTTGTAGAATATCTTTCAATACTCTTTGTAGGGTTGGTTTGGTAGTCATGAATTTCTTCAGCTGCTCTTTGTTGTGGAAGTATCTTATGTCTCCATTAATTTTGAAAGATAGTGTTGCAGGGTACGTCAGTCTGGGTTGGAAGTTGTTTTCTTTCAAGATCTGAAATACTTCACTCCAAGCTCTTCTTGACTTGATGGTTTATGTTGAGAAATCTGCCATGATTTTGATGGCTTTTCCTTCATAGGTGATCTGTTTCTTTTCTCTAACAGCTTTTAATATTCTTTTCTTTTGCTGAATTTCTGGGATCTTGATTATGTGTCTAGATGTAGGTGTATTTTGATTATGGCTAATTGGAGTTTTATATGCCTCACTTACTGTATGCCAGATTCTTTTCCCATGCTTGGGAAATTTTCTGCTATTACTTCTGCAAATAATCTTTTTATGTCATTCATGTTCTTTTCTGCTCTTGACACCTATCAGTCTTATATTGTTTTCTTTGCCTCATCTTGCAGCTGTTGAATTGTTATTTCCTGGTTCCTTGTTATTTTTAAGAGATCTTTCCTTTCATGATCTCTAGCTGCAATGCTGTCTTCAAGGTCTCAAAGTCTATCTTCTGTTTCATTGAGGCAGTTTTGCCAGCTTTCAATGGAGTTTTTAATTTCCTGAATATCTCTTTGAATTATGCATTCTAATTCTTTACTATATTGTTCATTCAATGTTTCCATCATTTTTCTGTGCTCCTCTATTTTTTATCTATGTCTTCTTTTGATATGCTGAGCAATGGTTTCATTATGGTTGTCATTTTTTTTTTTTTCCTGAGAGATTATTTTTGAACTGATTTCATCTATAGCCTGATGTAGTTTTTTCTTTACTTTAGCTGTGATCATTTCAGAAATTTCAGGTGTGTGACTTCCAAGTTCTTTTATGTTAATGTTTCCTGGACTTATTCTGGGTTGGGTGGAGGTCCAAGATTGCATTTTTTTCCTTCATTTTGTCATTTTCAAAGCTCTGTGTGTTTCTTGGACTCAGGGTCATTCTCAGGATGGTGGCAGGGGGTGAAGCAGAGGGTCTCACCCCTCCCAGGCAGCTCATCAAGGCTGCGTAGGTTTCCTAGGAGTCAGAGTCATTCCCGCAATGCTGGTAGGAGGCAGAGTGTGGGTCTTGGCCTTCTCAGGAAACTCACTGAGGTTCTATTTTTTATTTTGATACAAGGTCTTGCTAACTGAGACTGGGCTTGAGTTTGTGACTCTCCTGCTTCAGCCTCCCAGAGTGCTGGGATTACAGGAGTGCATCACCACACCCAATTTCTCTCTCTTTTCTTTATTCCCCTCCCTCACTTTTAAACCACAATAAATTGCACTAGGAGACTGAGAAGATGACCAGGCAGGCAGCTGACACCATCAACATCTCTTTCAGTTAGCAGCTCTTGCATGATCCCTTTATTTCTAGTTGGTCCTCAAGTGCTTGCAGTATAACTAACAATTATCACTGTGGCTTCTCCCTAGGGTTTCAGAGTCAAGCAGTATTCTCTTCTGAAATGCTTAGCTCTTCAGTGTTAAAGAAGTAAAGATACATACGAAGCAATGAAACAAGAAACTAGGAACACTGAATAAATAGCACTCTTTTTTAAATGAATAAAACTAATAATACAGATGCGGGAAAAGCAAAATGATTCATAAGACAACAGCCCAAGAAATGTCACAGTGGCTGCAACCAAGCCATTTAACTACCTTGCAATCTCACACTCTATTCAGGAGCATTATCTCTTTCAGGCGGGTGCAAGTCTTGCTTTGTACAGACACATAAAAGAGGTGTGAACCTTTGGCTAAAGAAGATGAGACTTCATTTGGCCTCTTTCTGTTTTTCTTTTTTCTTTTTTTTTTTTTCTTCTGGTACTGGGAATTGAACTCACAACCTTGTGCTCGCGAGGCAGGAGCTGTGCTGCTGAGCTAAATCCCCAGCACCCCTGGCCTCTTTCTGAAATGCTTTTGTGATTTCTACTCCTAGATGAATCCAGATTACCATGAGATTAAAAACAAACAAAACCAAAACTGTTTAATATTTTCTTACTTGATTCTCTATTTTCTTGTTTTTTTGTGTGTGGCATCAACTCTTCTGTAAGAAGTTCACAATATGCAATTAACTTACTTTTTAACTGGGAGCAAAAGCCATGCAAAGTGGAAAAAACTCTGATTAGTCAGAAACCAGGATATTTAGGGGTTATGAAAAAATTTTTGCACAGTAGTTGGTGGGGACCTGCTATTTTATAGAGGGTGATCAGGGAAAGCCTTTCTGAAGAGCAGATGTTTTGGGCAGAGGCATGAAGGGAAGGAGAAGCAATGGGCTGGCTCTGGGAATGAGGATACAGACAAGAACAGCAAAGGCAGAGGCCCTGAGGCGGAAACATACTTAGTCTGTGGGAGAAACCCCAAGGAGCTCAGAGTGGCTTGAATAAGGTAGCATCAACACAGAAGACTAAGGCCCAGGGAGAAAGGGTTACAGAAGTATGGGAGACTGGACCAGGCAGGGCTTTGAGGACACACGAGAGGGCTGTGGGCTCCAAAGTAACATTTTAGGCATCTGATGTTCTCCAGCACACATTTGAGAAACTATAGAGCCAGACTGGGGGTATGGAGAGGCACAGGGTGCAGCTGAAGGAGCCCAGTGGGCGCAGATGTGCTGCTATGAGACTCATACCAAGTGGTGTTGATTCCCAAGGTCATGCTTGCCTACCATAGTGATGGACAGTATCGGCTCAGCTCTAACAAAGCTTAAAAAAAAAACCACCCAGAAAATTTTAATGAACACTCTCCCCATTTCACGTGCTTTTGTGTGAGTGTATGAGGATGTGGAGTATGTGTGTGAACTGTACTTTGTAGAGGAAACAGTCTCCTTTTCTGCACTCTAGCCCACCAAAGTACCTTCTTCTCATCATTTAACAACCCAGTGAAGACAATGTAGATTATCTGACAGGCTCCCAAGGATGTTCTCACATTGATCACTCATGGACCTCAGAGCAACCTTGTGAGACAGCCAGGGGACACAGCCAGAGAAGTTCTGCCCATATCACACAGCCTGTTGGTGACAACCAAGGAAGGAGCCAAAATTCATTGGTGCTGAATTTAGGTTCTTCCAACAATCCAGTTCTGTGCTTCCTGGATTTAGCAAGGTGGTGTGATAGTTCAGATCTAGAATGTTCTCCAAAGACTCATGCAATCAGAGGTGAGTCTTCCAGAAGGTGAATGGACCGGGGAGTTAAAGCTGACTTGTTGTTAGGAGATGGGGTCTGTCATAGAGACAGGTCACGAGGAGCTTGACCTGGAAGGGTGCATCTCCTTCCCTACTTCTTTTCTTCTCTCTGTTTCCTGTTCACCATGATGTGAGCAGCCTTCCTCCATGGCAGGCCCTCCTACCATGCTGTTTCTGTGTTTGTGCTGCCAACCATGCACTGGAACTTCTGAAACCGTGAGCCCAAATAAACTTCTCTTTCTCTATAAGTTGTGATGTCAGGAGTTATGTTCCAGCCATGAGAAAGTGACAAGACAGGAGGCAATACCAAAATGAAGAAGATTCAAACACAAGGGCACAACTGAATCAAAGGGAAGAGCTATTTGTTGGGAATGACATCAGGGAGCCCCACTTTCCTGCGACCTAGAGCCTTTGATTTCTTGTGGTATATGGTGATTGAGCACAGACCTTGATAGCCTTTTGTGTAATGTTCAACAAGAGCTGTGGCGAAGCACCACATGGGAAAAGACACACCCTTTGTAGCAGTGACGGGGTCATTATTCCTTTGAAAACCCAAGCATGCCTGGTTTTACAGAACTTGTTTTTGTGTGAGCCATGGCCTGGATCCATTTGTAACCCAGAAGGGGAAGGAAAGAAAGTAAAAACAAAGGACTTACTAAATAGACATCAAGCACAGAGGCACTGTCGTCCTGCACTTCCATGGCGTTTGGCTCAGCAGTCAGGTAGATGGTCCCCTCCTCCAAGGTGAAGGTTGAACTCGAAGGTAACCCTTTACTGAGAAAGAAGGACAGACTGTGGGCACAGTGCCTTCAAACAAACCCAAACACATCCCAAAGCTGTGCCTAGGTGGGCAGCTTTTGGGCATGAAACACTTATTTGAAAGTCATGTCTAGAGATACCATCACCTAAATTTTTAAAAATTGTTTTCACTAGGAGCAGTTTTGCTCTCATGACTTCAGGCATTTTTGAGAGGTGATTTGTAGGTCCTGTGCCTTGTTTTTAGTGGATGCTGTGAACCTAGATAGCTCGGTCTATCTAGGTGGTTTTCACCGCTTCTGTTCTCCTCATTCTCCCTTTATCTATTCTCATCTTGCTGCTTTACAGAATGCAGCTCTGTGTATCCTTCCTTTCTGTTTATTACTTCCCATTTATTTAGTTTTCTTTTTTGGCACAAAAACTCCAACTATACCAATGGTTCTCAAGCTTCAGTCTGCATCAGAACCGCCTCCCCCCGGGCGGGTGGCTGGTTACAGTGCACTTTCTTTGGCCCTTCCATGGGAGTTTCTGATTCAGAGGGGCTGGCACGCAGCCTGTGAACTTGCATTTCACACAAGCTCCTGGCTGTTGCAGGCGCTGCCTTGGAGCACACACCTGGAATAAGGGCGACTTGCAGATGCGCAGAGCACTGCATTACATGGTCTGTGAGCCCAGCCTGCACAGATCCTCACTCACAACACAGACAAAGCAGTGCTGACAGCAGACTGGGGAGGCGCTGGGACAGGAAGCACCTTGTTTTTATGTGGTATGACACCCAAAGTGGACTGTTGGAGGAACTGCTTCATTTTGGTAGTACTTAAACTGGACACTAATACTGGAGTTTAGAGATGCACATTTTCCCCTGATGACATAAAGTTAGTTATGTTTTTTATGGAGAGTCTTCAAAAAACTAAAACTAGAAATTCTGTTTGACCAACCTAGCTATCCCCTTCTAGGTATCTTCTTGACTGAGTTAGAGACATCATATTATAGTGATATGTGCACATTCATGTGCATATTCAGCAGCATAACTCATAATAGCTAAGTCTTGGAAGGGGCCTATCTGTCCATCAACAGATGAATGGGTAAAGAATATGTGGTTTTTATACACAATGGAGTACTACTCTGCAGTGAAGAAGGATATATTTGAGTCATCTACTGTAAGAAAATGGGTGCACTTTGAGACCATGATGTTAAGTGAAATAAATCAGAAACACAAGCTTAAATATGATATAGTTTCTCTTACATGAGAAATCCAAAGTATAAATAAAGAGCACCATAAAAGATAGATAACAGGAAACAGGGAGATAAATCTTTTGCTAATGGGAAGGTGACCAGAGATCGAGCCAGCAGAGGAGAAGAAGATGTAAAAAGAATTAAGGTGTGTTATGTACGGGTACCGACTCCCCAAGAGCAGCGTAATCATTAGGCACCAAAAACATGTACTAATAAAAATAAAAACATTATTTCTTTTTAATCTGTGTTTTCAATTGACCATGAGAAGGTTTTGCAGGCATAAAACCTCTGACAGAGAACTGGGGCAAGAAGATGACTCTGGTGTCGGGGGAGCTGACCGGAAGGAACTCGCAGCACCGTGGCTTCCCTGGGCAGCAGAGCGGAGGACTGCTGCCCAGGAGGTTTCCGGTTCCCCAGCTGCCCCGCGGTTTCCGGTTCCACCACGTTTCTCTGTCCTCTCGGGGCTCATGGAAGAGCTCAGCTCCTCTGAAAACCCCTCCGAAGTCATCCCAGGGATTCTGGTCTAAGCGAGCCGCACAGGAGACTGCTGTGGACCGTGCCACCTGTTGCCCCCACTCCAAAAGCTGCACCTAATTCTGTCTCTGTGTGGATCTACCTATTAATGGAAGGTAAATGGAAATGTTCAGTAGCCCTGACCTTTCTAATAACTAAAAAAACCTCACCGAAAGAATTCTTTGGCTATTAACAGATAGAGTTCATTTGTATTTTTTCTGTTCAAAAAAATACAGGAAGAAAATGGTGAGGGGCAGAGGGCAGAGTTGAGTGGTGAAGCACTGGCCTGGTCTGCAACCAGGTTTGATCTCCAGCCCCCAGGGAAGAAAAGTATAAATACAGACCAGTAGGAAGAGGACAGTGTGGGTCAGGGATCGTCCACTGATCTTGCACTTGGCGATACGTGGGAATGTGGAAATGAAGGGCGAAAGCGGTCTCACTTCCGGTTGGACGCACTTCCTCTCCAATTCTGGACACAGTAAGGAAGTCGTTTGGTCTTTCAAAAGCTTGTGGGTTATGCAGTATGGGACTATGGGACGTCTCCTGTTGGGGGAGCTCCCAGAGCAGCAGGTGCGTCTTTCCTTGAGTTGTCGCCTTTATCCTGTAAGCGCTCAGATTTACTGCTGAAGCAAACCATCAGCTTTCGGAGGCTGTGGCCGATGAGGCAGTGGGTGGCAGTGGGCACTGCTCAGGTTATTTTTTGGGTCAGAAAAAGGAGGCAGTAATGAGCGCTGACTGCCTGTTGCCTTTTAACTGTGAGGACGCTGCTCATTCTTTTGGGGGTTTAAAATGACCCTGCCTGGCCAGGCCCTGTGAGAAAGATAAACCCTTTATCTACTTCGACACCACAGCAAGAGACAAAGCGGTCAGGAAATATGGAAACGTGGTAAACTTTCTGTTTTTATTCTTTTTTTTTTTTTTTTGTATACTTTTCATATAATTGAAAAAAGTAGCTTCTAGATTACTTTAAAAATAGATATTTGATGAGGATCAAAAAAGTAAGTTTCCCCTTTCCTGTATGAGTTTTCAATTATGATTTTTTTTTTTCTTGCTTTTGAGATTGGATCTCGCTATGTAGTTCAGGCTGGTCTTGAACTTACTATATGGCCCAGGCTGGCCTCAAACTTGCAGGGACCTTCCTGCCTCAGCCTCCCAAGTGCTGGGATTACAGGCTGTGGTTCTCTCTACTGAAATTGTGGAACTACTGTATGTGATGGGAGAAGCTGAGGTGGCTCAGTAGCAACTGTGCCTAGGAGCTTGTAAAATAATCACGTAAGACCAGAAATATGGCATGTTTGGCTTTTGGTGTGAGCGGTAGAAATCTTTGTTTTGGGGGAGAGTAACAGTAAATGTAAAGATTTGAGGAAAAGTGAGTAGGCAAAATAGGTTTTACAAAGCAACATATTTTCAAAAAGAGGACATAAGTATTTAACAAGCACAATAAAGCTTTTCAAGCCTCCAACAGTTTAATATCTAAACGAAATACCTCTATGAAAGAATGGGGTAAAATATATGGCCCTATAGACAGGATCAGGCATTTGAATGGCAAAGTTGCATTAAAGGTATTTTTGATAATCTGACTTCTTGTCTTGGCAATGAGTGAGAACTATATATTCAATGAATTGCTCCTTATTTTTCTTATCCTTGTTAGGCTGTGTGGACTTAGTGAGATAAGCGCAAATATTATTTCCTTAGAAGGTTTAGATTAGAGTCAGGCATGGTGGCCCATGCCTGTGATCACAGAACTTTGGAAGGTAAGGTAGCCCAGCCCAGGAAACTTAGGGAAGCCCTATCTCACAGTAAAAAATAAAAAAAGGAGTAGGAATGTAGCTTAGTGCAAAGGTCCAAAATTTATACTGCTGTATACGTACTGTATGCTAACTGATTGCATCACTGCAGCATTCAAAATTTAATCCCACTCCCCCCGAAAAAGACACAGATGACACTCTATCACCTCAAAAGGATGAAAGCACATTTTAGGGAAAACAAAACCTACATACAGCAACTGCATTCAGAGCATGAGCTTCGGAATCAGGCAGACTCGGCTTTGAATTCTGGTGTTCCCACTTAATTGTGTGTGATACTGGGTAACTTTCTTTCTTTTTTTTTTTTTCACATTTTTGTTGACATTTTTTATGTTGTCAAGACTGTTACTTTCATTTGCAAGTAGACTAGCTGGGAAATACAAAGACCTGTATACTTGACTTTTTAAAATCAAGTTTATCTTCTATCAAATTACTCATAACCAGCTTTCTACAGTCCTAGGATTTTATGTCCAGTATGTTCTGGACCAATATGTCCTGTTGATAACATTTTTTTAAAAAGAATGAGCATAGTCAGGTTGTCTTAGTCTTAAGGATTTCTGGATTTCGTCCTTGGAGGAGATCGGGATCTTCCCAAGGCCTTGGGCCTCGAATATTCTTCCAGTCTTCAAAAGTAGAGTCCTTTATTTTCTCATATTCTGACTCTAAAGATATTTTATTCATTTTCAGCTTTTTTTCCAATTCAGGATCAATTTTCATCTTCACAGCATCATATCGGATTTGTGAGAACTCACGGAGACCAAAAGAACCTCCAACAACCAGCAACAACATGGGAACCCTGTATCGAAGGGTCTTGTTCTTGTGTAAAGCTCGCATCACCGCGGGTGTGAACATAACTAAAACCTTGGCCCGCTTCCAGTCGCTCCAAGCCGACCCACTGCTCCCTACATACTGGGTAACTTTCTTCAGCCTTGTGAGCTCCAGCTTCCCATATGTAAAACGACAATGAAAGTACCAACTAAGTGGGGCTGGTGGAGTGATTTGTGATGATGAATATACAATGCAAATATTTAATAAGCGTCCATCCATGCCCTAGGTGCCAGTATCTAGCAGAGATCAAAATAAATATAAGTACATGCCTTATGAAACATATGCAGTATCAAGGAAGACAGACACTGACATAAAGATTTAAAGCTGGGCGTGGTGGTACAGGCCTATAATTTCAGCACTCCGGGAGGCTGAGGCAGGAGGGTTGGAAGCTGGTGTCCCCTGGGGAATTTAGAGAGACCTATCTCAAAAAAAAAAGCAAAACGCAAAACACAAAACATTACGCTGGTCAAAGTGCTAAAGAGAAAGAAAGCACCAAAGAGAGACAGGAAGCAAGAAGGCAGAGGCCAGTCCAAGTACCAAGTGCCACAGGCTCCATCAGAGTGGCTGGGCTCTCAGGTATAAGTCAGAGGCAGACACTCCAGAAAACCCACACCAAGGCCTTCACAGTGCCCCTGA